GAAGTTTTTTTCTTCCCAATTGCCTGAATTTCAGATACTTATTAGACGATATATTTACATTGCCACCTGTTTGTTTTAACGCGTGAGTGTTTGCAAAGTATGCTGATTTTTGTATTTTTACTGATGTTACTGTATCAAATCAATTTCATTTAAAGAAATTCCTTTTGCATCCATTAATGTGCTAAATGAATATGAACAATCTTTTTTCTAATATATTCTTTTGCAGAACAAAACTGAGCTTCACAAGATGGAATGCTGATTGGAAGAGTGCTACCGCCTTGTACGAACAAGCTGGTCAGTGACTTTGTATGCTGTCGCCACATTCGTATATTCTCTTTCACTGTTTGCTCCCCCGCGCTGTATGTAATGAAATTTCATCTCCACTTTAAAGCAATTGCTTATAGATTCAGAAAGGACAATGAGAAAGCAAAGGATGCATTTGAGAAGGCTTCAAAAGGACAAGAAATGATCTCATCGTATCCTTCAGAAATTTATCTATGCCTGTTGTGCTGTCACATCGTTGAACAATCACCTAATTTACCCTTGACTAATTCCCTAGACCGTGGGATGCTGCTAAGCATATGGAAAATGCTGGTGCTTTAGCAAAGGAGCTTGGACTCTGGAATGAAGTTTCCGACTTTTATCGCAGAGCATCAGAATTTTACCGTGAATGTGGAAGATCACAACCTGCCTCTGATGCTCTTGCAAAGGGTGCCAGGTAATTCAAAAGCAATCCGATCATCATTCGTTCCGAGGCTCATGTGTCTAATCATTATAATATCAGTGCCTTGGAAGATAAAGCTCCAGAAGAAGCAACTAAATTGTATGATGACGCTTGCACACTTCTAGAAGAAGATGGAAAGGAGCAGATGGCTTTTGACTTGTACCGTGCTGCTGCAAGTTTATATGTGAAGCTTGAGAAGTAAGATTGCACAGATCAGCTTATGCATGTTAATTACACTACATTTTTGCATGTCCTCTTACAAGTCCATGGCATGTCATGTGTCATGCATGAGTTTCTTGAATTCATTTACTCTTATGTTCTTTGCTGTTACTTTTGGAGCAAGCACATTTTAGGATAGAGAAGGAGTCTCGATCCCAAAACTTTAAGAGCAACACTAGGGGAGTAATACAATATCTACTCGAATAAGTACTCCCCAGTAAACACCAACAGAATTGGAGTAAGCTACACGCACACCAAATGGTGGGCAATGATAGGTTGTATTTTTACCAATTTCGGTTCCTACAGTCGTTCTTTCTGGTACTTGGGGATTAATTCCCAGTCTTTTGGTCTATCCTTGCAATTTTTGCTTTAACTAAGAATGCTGTTTGGTTTATCAAACATAAAGAAGCAGGCAGAGACTATGGAAATCGGCAAGGGCTTATATTTGCTTACTAAATTAATCTAAACTGGTTGATCCTATATTCCACGAGCTTTTACATCCTTATTCTGGGATTTGTGTATGTTTTGATTGAGTCTCTTTTTTTGGGACAAACCCAGCTCCCTTCTCGCACGCCTTTATTCAGTAGATTCACAGGAGGCCCTTTTTTGTGTATGTGCCTGCCTATTTGTTTTGGTCCTTGTTTTCTCCTTCCCCGAACAATTGCTTTGCTTAGAATTATTAGAGCTTATTGCACTCATACCTTTTGATGGTTCTGTTTGCTGAATGTACTTGTGGATTAAAATGTTCTTGAAGTTGTAGTGGCATCCTTATTTATCGTTGGATTCTTCAGTTCACGTGTTGTCCTTGATCTTTTTCTGACATTTATGCACATATGCATCACTTGGCATTTTAGCAATCGTGTTTATGTACTGATTTACATGTCATTCCTTATTTGGCCATCTCTGACAGGTACTCGGATGCCGCTGCATTCCATTTAAGACTTGGTTCAGCTGCTGATAAGTGCAATGCCGTGAACAGCCAATGCAAGGTAATATTAACACCAAAATGTGCTTAGCTATTCAGAAATTTGTTCTTTGCAAGGTTTCTGACTTCTGAGGGAAACCTTGGTATTCACCAAAATGTGTTCACTGAATAGAACGTAAATTCTGAAACTTTGTTTTTTCCCCCCTTTCGGGCAAGATAATTCTCACAGCGAGAAAGATTATGCGGTGAAAACCGAGAAGTTTCTTAACAGATAATAGCATGCTAGCTGGCCTTGGAAGTTTACCCCTTATTAAACATTCATATGCAAAATGAAACTATATTCATTCTTGCTTGTTCAGTTAAGACTTAAGAGGTATCACAATTTTGAAAAATAAGTGTTAATCCGGAGTTGTTCCATGTGTGCAGGCCTATCTGAGTGCAATCATTATCTACCTTTATGCACATGATTTTCAACAAGCTCAGAAATGCTACAATGATTGCTCAGAGTAAGTAATGTGTTGGTGATAGACTGGTATTGCATTGGCATGTAACATATTTTGTGTTATGTTGGTTGTATTAAATCACTTTTCTTTCCTCTTTTTCTGTGTTGCAGGGTTCAAGGCTTCTTGAATAGTGACCAGAATCGATGTGCAATGAAACTGTTGTCTGCTTATGAGGAAGGCGATGCTGAAGAAATCAAGCGTGCTGCTCAATCAAGTGCCATTAATCACCTCGACCATGTGGTATGTCTTTGAAGATCCTTAGTTAAAAGGCTATCGATTATATGAGAAGATGACCGATGATGGTGCATGTGCTTAGAATGGTGAACTAAGGCCTCTCCTAATGCATAGGTGCTTAGAGCAAGTGCTTAGTGTGTGAGGAGGCTTAGGAACTGAACTCCCATTGCGCAGGTGCCTAGTTTGTTGTCGCTAATTAAGGTTCATCTAGTTAGCTGTAGGATCTTATGTGCAAGCTCAAGCGGTAGCAAGGGGACAAGGACAAGGGGATATGAACGGGATCAAAATATACACAGGGCCTTGTGCCTGGATTCGTTTATTCTGAGGACACCAAAGTCTTCTCTCCTCCACAATTACGTTGCCTCATCTGCTTTTTGCCTAAGTGACATACTTAGCACCAGTACACGGTGAAGTATTCTGAGGGGACTAAGCGCCGAGGCATCACAGGCTAGACATGCTATTGTGAATGTTCCTTTTAACTAATATTCCTCCCGAGCTTGTCTCTCAAATGGATGTATCTTGCACTAGATACATCCATTCGAGGGACAAGCTTTTTCGAACGGATGGAGTATATATTCTTCAGATTCTATCATTTCTATTGTGCCAGTCTTGTGTGCTTCAGCAGTGATCTCAGGATAATTTTCATTTTCTTATCAAACTAGTACAAGACCATTCCATCTCTCTTCAATTGTGCCTGGGTTTTCTTCACTCGGACTGACGTGATCGGTCGCTGCAGGTAATTCGGCTTGCAAGGAAGCTACCAACAGGTGACCTGCAGGCCATCAAGAAAGATGTAGGAGGCGACGACGGGGATTCCTTGGACGAGGATGACCTAACCTGATCCCAAACTGCCTGGCGAGATGCAGAGAGAACCACAATCAATCTGAATGACTACGCCATTGATGAACAGGAAAGGTTGTAAAAACACATTCTGAATCGCATAGATACTTGTAGGCTGCATCTGTATCATGGATTTCGATCCCCTTGTTTTCGTTGTTCCGGATCTGTGCACATACACCCTACATCTGTACCGCTGGTTTGCCGTTGTTGTGATATTCTTATTGGTTTGATTGCCTTGACAGTGTTCTGTTATCTGTGTATATATACCAGCATGTGTTGAAGTACAGACGAATTTCACAACTTGTGATTTGTTGATCAGTGTTGATGATGCAACCTGTTGATATGTCTATCCAAGAAGGCGATATAAATGCACAATGACAAATCCTTTATTTATTCCGTTGGTGATACATGTAGCACATCAAGGAAGACGCGAAGTAGGGAAGACATACTTTCCTGGACTGAAAGGAAACACACACCATAGTAGTGTAACTCAAAGGAAATACACACGACAAAGATGGTAGTTAAAGGAAATACACACGACAAAGATAGTAGTTCGTACAGACGCTTGAGCGAAACGCCGGTGATTTTCTTCTGGCCGGTACTCCCTCCGTTTTTATTTACTCTGCATGCATATTAGAGTTGACTGAAGTCAAACTTCATAAAGTTTGATCAAATTTATAAAAAACAATATAGACATTTATCATAATAAATCAATCTATACGATGTGAAAATACATTCAATAATAAATCTAATGTTGTTGATTTGTTATTGTATATCTTAATATTTTTGTTTATAAACTTGGTCAAAGTTTGTAAAGCTTGACTTTGACCAAAACTAATATGCGAACTAAATAAAAACGGAGGGAGTACGTGCTACAGCTGCAGATCTAAAGCCACAACTAGTTGAGCTTCAGTTTGTATGTAAGCTAGCACATGAACCACAGATGATCATGGAGACTTGTTGGTGCTGGATTTTCGAACGGGAGGGACCCAGGAATCAGTACCCCGACAATCGGTGGTGCCCCTGGCAACCCGAGGCCCGCCGCGAGGCCGTCCACTGCCCCCGGGAGGCCGCCGTCGAGAGCCGGTGACCCGCCGGCTAGGAGCGACGGAGCCTTCATCTCGCCGACGGCACTACCAGCACCGTGCTTCCCATTCAGCTCTCCCGCGTCGCTGGACGCGAGCAGGAGCACCAGCAGGAGCGCGACGGCGAGGCGCTTCGCCATTGCTAACCGGGAGTTCTTATAAAATCACTATACTACTCAGGAGATGTTGTGTAGTTGTGTTTGCGTGAGCTTAGTCAGGATTAGCATGGTGCAACGCTGCTTTTTATAGGGAAACGCTTGTACCCGGCGTGCCGGCCGAACCATTGCGCCGGACGCGCGTGACGCGTTGGATGAACCGGTAAGATGCGGCCCTGATTTGTTCCACGGGAGAGGATTAGAATGCCATGTGCCACACACGTTAACCACACACAACCTCATCACTATCCTCTCGTTCTCTCCCTCCTTTCCCCAAAATCACTCCATCGAATCTCTCCAGTCGCATGGACCACCGCTCCAAGCCAGGCCATGGTAGCCACAACAACGAGGATTACAGCCTGGCCTTCAGGTTTAGCGCCGCCGCTGCAGGTGCAAGGCTCGACCGCGGGGCAATGCCGATGCTGCGGCTAACCCGTCGCGGCCGGCGGGGCGACCGCGCGAGCTGCGCTGCGGGGCATGCCGATGCTGCGGCTACCCCGTCGCGGCCGGCGGGGCGACCGCGCGAGCTGCGCTGCGGGGCATGCCGATGTTGCGGCGACCCGTCACATCCGGCGACGGCGACCGCGCGAGTTGCGACGCGGTGGAGGGCAAATTGCTAATCCCAGTATGGCAGTCTGGAACCGGCGTTCAGTTTTGCTACAACCGGCGAGGCGAATGGGGCGGCCACGGCATGCCGCATCCGGCGGCGCAAGATGCTGGGACCGGCTGCGAGGAATGCTACAACCATGGCTTGGAGATGCTGGAACCGAGACTCGCCGTGTTGTGATCGGCCGACCGGCGACGGTAATTTTGCTGGAATCACGAACCTTTTTTGCTCGATGGAGCCCCATTTTTTGCTACCACCGTCTGGTTGTTTTTGCTGTAACTAGTGCCCAGCTTGGAGCTACAATATAAAGACCACCGTCCATTTTTTGCTACGTCCGTCTTTGTTTTTGCTGAAACCAATGTCCATTGTTGCTACCATCATTTTGGGTTTACTAGAACTAGCACCTAATTATTTTTGCTACCACCGTTTGGTTTTTGCTGGAACCAACATCCAACTTTTGCTTCCATCATCTTTGGATTTTGCTGGAGCCGGTGTCCTTTTTTGCTACAACCGTCCTTCAGATTTGCCGGAACCAGTGTCGGTGAATCAAATGTTTTTTTTGTTTGCGACCGACGAAGGTGAGCACGCCGGTGTCGAGCGTCGACGGCGAGCAACGGGGGCGGCTGCCTTGCCACCTGCATGAGGGAGAGAACACGCGACATGATGAGAGAGTGGGCGGCCGCCATGGATTCGTTTTTTGTGATCTTTAAGATGCCGATGCGAAGGTGTGAAGAAGACGATGGAAAGATGCCATCCAATTTAAATGTTTCTTTTATTGACTGCAAAATCAGTTCCATTAGATTTTTGTATTGAAATGAAGTGTACTAACGGTAAACTAAATCATTTGTAGCTTAGAGTCGCCCAGCAACACACGGGGCAACGTCCAACTAAGCAAACCTACATAGCTACCTTAATCACCTCCATACTTGGTAAATGGGAAAGACCCCCGGAAGAGATGCTTTTATAACAATTCATTAAAAATACATTTAGTGCTATGAACCAACACACTGTTAACATGGAAATATTCGATGAAAACAAAGAGGCAAAGACTTCCGAAAGGGATGGTTTCCTAACAGTCCATTTAAAAATACATTTAATATTATGAATCGGAAAAATATTAAGAGGCAAATATTGCATTCCACCTCAAAAAACAATATGGCATTCAAC